GGGGGCGATATGCTGACTCTGTAAACCGCTTAGAGAGGGCTGAAAGCCCTATGAAGCGGTATATAAGTCTAACTGCTATTGCTACTGCTATTCCAAGCCAAAAGATGGAGACGTGATTAGAGTCACGCTGAAGGCAGCCATTGCTTAAACTCCGGCACCCTGTGAGGATTTGTCAACTGACATATTATGATCTCACAAGCCCACGGAGACAGTTCTGTGGGTGGGGCCCCTTTCCCGAGAGCTTACTCATCGTTGTAACCTCTTTACAGTTGGATTAGGTAACGCTTTAATTAAGTGATAATCGGCTGATCGCAAAATCTGTGAAATTTACCTCATCTTTCTGCTCTTTTCCACCGGAAACCTTTTGCACCTTCAGCATAATTTTATCTTATCATTTTCAAGCCCCACTTGAGCACGTTCCAACCGTTATCCATTTAAGAAGCTTGCTCTGCTCCGTTTCTGCAGGTAGTCCTCCATGTACGACCACAAATGACCCCCAAATGTATGTTGTTAAGCGAGGCTCTTGTTAGCTGAGTTTCGTCCCACCTCTGCCCACCTTCCTTGGCACCGTTGTGAAGCGAACCGCTGCCGTTGTTAATTTAGCAACACGGTTGTTATAAGCAAATCCGGCTTCCCCTCGTGGAGTTTGCGCGTCAGAAGGTCGCAAAAGGGAGGCGCGTGGCTTCCAACAATTCATTTAGTGACCGAAGTTACGACAGTGTTGACAAAAGTGACTGAGGACCTTTTTTTTTTTCACACTTAACAACCGTCGCAGCATCCTTCGTGGTCCCATGATCAAAATTGGGACGCTTGACAACTGACTCGTATTTATGACGGTTGCAGTGTCCCGGGGCCACGTAATCCACTTTTGCGACCTTCTGACCAGCAAAATCAATCACTCGGGGTCACCTGAGTGGGGCCAATGGTTTCTCTGCAATTTTCCTGGAAATCTGTTCTGGAAATGACTACGGGAACCATTTGCACCACTCAGGTGACCCTGAGGACAGAGATAAACCTCCAAGTGGCCTCAAGGACCCTCTCAAAGGATGCAAATGACCAGCTCTATCTGCAAGGAATATAAATCCTTCCCTTCTTCACCATCCAGTCAGAGCTGAAGAAGCTTCTTGGATGGGAAGCAAAACGTCTTCAAAAGAAATAACCAGAAAGCCCAGTTGCCTCCTGAAAAAAGCACCTTTGGGATAACCATGGCCAGGATGGCTGAGAATCTCTACAGATGTTTAGCTATGCAATTTGGGATGGAGACCCTTGGAATGGTGTGGGAGCAGGAATGGATTTCCAGAGGAAAAATTGCAGACTACAGGAACCATTTGCACCACTCAGGTGACCCTGAGGACAGAGATAAACCTCCAAGTGGCCTCAAGGACCCTCTCAAA